CCTGAACCCCCGTGGGTCCCCACGGGCTGGGCAGCACGCACCTCTCGGATCTCCTTGATCTTGCAGCCTCCTTTGCCAATGAGGGACCCGCACTGGCTGGCGGGCACCACGAGCCGGAGGGTGACCGGGGGCCGGCTGGCAGCTGTGCTGTTGGTCATGGAGCTGCTGATGTCCTGCGAGGAAGAGGAGCTGTTGAGGGCTCAGCCCTGCGGGGACGGCACGCGCTGGGGACGTGCCCGGCACAGGGACAGGGAGGTGACGCTGGCACCGGCGGCCGAGGCCAAGGTGACCTCGGGGCTTTCCCAGGACTCGCTCAGCAGCCCAGAAAAAACACAGATGTATTTTGGGGAAGCAGCAGCCAAACTCTGCTGCCTCAATGGAAATGGGTTTAGGCACCGGCCCAGGCTGGGTGCCACCTCAGCCAAGCAGGAACTGCTGCTGGAGGGGGCTCGGGGACTCCACGGCTCCAGGGTCAGCACGGAGCCTCCCTCTGCACCAGGGATCAAGGCAGCAGCTCCGGGAAAAACAATCCCGGCGCCGATTACAGCGGTCATGTGCTGGCAGGGGGAGGGGAGGCACAAGGCCAGGGCTCAACTGACCTACTAAAGCAAAGCTTCAGCTCCAAGGCCGGTGCCCAGAGCGCTGCAGAGCCGTGCAGCCCGTGGAGGACTCTGGCTCCCTGCATTCGGCACTAACAGCTCCAAGCCCCGCAGCCTTTAACGCTGCAGTGAGGGCAGGGGAGTTTGGGGACAGAGCTGCCAGCACAGGCTTGTTTGTCCCTGGGTAGTGTCCCAAATCTAAAGGGCAATAGAATTTGTACCACCACAAGCAAGGTGAGGGCCACAGAGCTCTGCCCCACACCAGGTGAGGAGCACTCCCAACCCCTGCTCCCTCCAATCCAGAAATCTCAACATCAAGCCCTGAGAGCAGGCTCTAACACCTGCAAGATCCAGGTTATGTAGCAGCAAAATCCTCCCTGGAAGTCACTGATTTAACAGGACCAGGGACACGATGCAGCTCCTGCAGCCCCATTTCCTCCTTGGCAGGGCCGGGGAGAGAGCTGAGCTGTGGCGTGTGCTGGGGGGAAGTGGCACCAGCACCCGCAGAGCCAGGGGGATTCCAAGCCCCGCTCTGCTCCACGCTGTGGGCAGGAAGTCCCTGCGGAGCCCTGGCTCCAGCACTGCCTGGACCTTGCCCCAGCACGGCACTGGACAAAGATCGGGGCCAGGCAGGGAGACGCCGCTGCCCATGCAGAACAGCGGCCCTGGGCCCCCCGGGGCCACGCCGGGGTCAGCTCTGCCGGAGACAAGGGATAAACGGGGCAGTGACTGCAGGGGGCCGTGGACACACCTCTTCCAGTTTGTCAATGATCATCGCAAAAGCTTTGAAGATGGCGTTGGTGGGTCCCGCCAGGGTGATGATCCGCTCGGGGCAGTTCCCTTCCGAGATGTTGATGCGAGCTCCGCTCTGCGGGGAGGCAAACGCCACCTCAGTGCCCGGGATTCCTGCGGATCCCCCGCCGGGGACAGAGCCCTCCCTCCTCCTCCTCCTCCCCTCCCTCGGCTCGGGCAGCCATCTTCTCCTCCTCGGCTTCCTGCCGCGCCTGCCCACAGCTCCCGGCATTCCCCGCGCCATGCCGCCGCCGCACCGCCCGCGGAGCCCGCGCCAGGCCCGCCATCCTGCCCCGCTGCCGGCACTCACCTCCTCACGCATCTTCTTCACCGACTCCCCTTTCTGTGAGGGAACAGAGAAGGGAGAGAGGCGTCAGCGCCGCGGCGGGTGGGCAGGGAGGGAGGGAGGGGGACGGAGAGAGAGGGAAAGGGAGGGCTGGGGGAGTTTGTTCCTCACTTACCTTCCCAATGATGCTTCCCACCTCCTGGGATGGAAACAAAAGCACCGTTAGTCAGCGTTTTAAAAACTCCTGGAGCCCCAAGCCTAAACTCGGCTCTTTTCACAGTCAAAACAAGCTCCTGAGCACTTGAGTTCTGCCCCTCAGATAACTGGGGTTTAACCCAGTTGTGCTGATCTTGTTCCCACCTTCGCTCCCATCAAGTCGTTCTGCCCCCCCCAATAATGATTTCCTTTGCTGGGTGCGCCCCAGGATCTGCCCGGGCACCTGCAGCACGTTCCTAGCCCCACAGCAGCTCCAGGAGACCCCACGGAAGCGCCCAGCCCACCCCGTGCCCCGCCAGGGCTCCAGGCAGGCGGCTGGGGACACGAACCTTGCCGTGCATGAGTAGCCGGATGGTGAGCGTGACATTGAGACCCCCTTCGATGACTCCGGTGTCCATGGTGGGCAGCGCGGGGTCGGCTCAGGCTGCAGCAGCGCTCGGGCCTCGGCTGGGGGGAGAGGGGCTGCGTGAGTGGGGGGCTGCGACCTGAGGGGCTCTGCCAATCCCCCCCAGCCTGTCCAGGCAGGATTCCAGCCTCCCTGTGCTGCTGCGCCCCTCAAATCACCCCTTCAAGTGTTGGGACAATCCGTGGTGGTTTGGCTCCTCCTCCTATGAATTTCCAGAGCTGAACTGGCCCCATCCCATCTGGATCCAGCAACTCTTGGGGTCATGAGGGTCCTGCTCAGCCCCTGCCTCCTCCCAGCCCTGCTCCTTGCAGGCGTTTCCCTGAGGGACAGCTGAATACTTCACGGTGACCCCCGGTAGCACTGGGGACACAAATGGTTCCTGGACACAACCAGGGATGCCGAGGGGACACTGAGGACTAATCGTGGTCCCTACAGGTCCGGGGAAGCCGCTGTTCCCTGCGAGCCCCACACTCTTCACAGCCCAAGTCTTCCTGCAGCTGCCCGATGGGAGCGGGCACCGCAGTCGCAGGGGTTCGGCCCGCTGGACAGGCGGGATTGTGGAGAAAATAAACAGCATCGGCGTTCCCGAGCCCGCGCGGGGCCCCCCGGAGCAGGTTCCGAGGCGATTCCCTCAGACCCAGATAAGGCCACATGAGCGCACGATCAGGTTTCAAACCACCTGAGTCGGCAGCGGTTGCAAAACAGCCCGGCCGGCCCCTGCCGAGCTTTTCATAGGAATCCGGTAAATAAACTCCCATTTCGGCCGCCGCTTATGCCTCATCAAAGTTTAACCACGGCCGAGGCAGGCCCGGGGCCGCGCTGCCTCGCTGGCACCAGGGCTTTGCCGCGGCCTGCATGAGCCCGGCCCGGCATTCCCCCGGTTCGGGGAGCGGAGCCCGGGATCGCAGCTCCGACAGCGGGGCGAGGGCGGAACGGGCCCCGAGCCCGCCCGCCCCGGCAGCCCGGGCCCGTCCCGGGGACAAAAGCGGCCGAGCGGCCCCGCCGGGGGTGACGCGGGCCCGGACCGGGCTCTCGGCGAGGCCTTTCCGCAGGGAAACTTCCCCGAGCTCGGCCCCGCGCCGGATCCCCCCGCCCCCGGCACCTCCGTCCCAAAGCCGGGGACGCGGCTGCTGCGGCGGGGACGCGGCTCTGAAACGAGCCCGTCCCTGAGGCGGGGACGCGGCACCGGAGCCAGCTCAGCCCTGCGGGGCGGATGGGGGGGGAACCGGGCAGGGAGTCCCGGCTCCAAGCCGGGCCGGGGGGAGCGGAGCGGCTGTCCCGGAGCGACCCCGAGTTGCGATGGAGCCCCCGGATGGGGCCCGATCACAAGGCGGGTGAAGGGGATCCCGGGCCGGCGGCTCCGAACGGGGCTCGGAGCCCGGCGGGGGGAAACCGGCCAAGCGCCGGGAGAGCGGGGGGAAAAATGGGCCTCTGCATCCCGGACCGGGCCGGGAGGCACCGACCCGGGGCTCCGAACCGGGCACCACACCGTTCGGCTCCGGGCAGGCCCGGGGGGAAGACCCGGATCCCCCGGGGGGGCGGCGGCCCCGCGCAGGCCCGTCCGTGCGCCCCCTTCCCGCTCCGGCGGGGGGAAAACAACAGCGCGGGATGGCGGAAAAATCGGGCCCGGGCGGGAAAAGAAAAAAAAAAAAAAACTAAAAGAAAAGAAAATCAAAAAATCAAACTCCAAGAAAACGGAGTAGAAAGAAAGAAAAAAAAAATTCTCCCCACGCCCCTCGGGGCCCCCCCGCAGCCGGCCCGGGCGGGGGGCGGCGGCGCCATGTGACGCACGCGGCGCCCCGAACCCCCCCTGCCCGGTTCCGGCGGGGGGGGGGAGCCGCGGGGGGGGCGGCGGGAGGCGGCAGCGGCGGCCCCCGAGGCCCCCGAGGCCGTTTGTGCCCCCGGCCGGCGGCGCGGGGCGCGCGGGCCGCACAGGCCGCACAGGCCGCGCAGGCCGCGGGCGCCGTGAGGGCGCGGCCGGCGGGGGGGCGGCGGGGGGGCCGCGCTGAGGGCCCGGCCCGGGGGGGATCGGACCCGGATGGCGGCCGGGGGGGCGCGGGGGGCCCGCGGGGAGGGCCGGGGGGCGGCGGTGGGGGGGCGATGGGGGGGGGGGGGCGGGGGGTCGGGCCTACCTGTGTCGGCGCCGGTAACGGCGTTGGGCGAAGGGCGCTCCGGGCGGAGCGGGAGGAGGGAGGGCGGGAGGGAGGGGGGGGGAGGCGGGGAGGGAGCGCGGCGGGCGGGCGCGCGGGATGGCGGCGGCGGCGGCGCGGGCGCGGCTGCTCCGGCTGCGGCGGCCGCGGGTCTGGGAGGGGGCGGCGGGCGCGGCCCGATTTACACCCGCCCCGACCCGGAAACGCACGGCGCGCGCGGGGCGGGACGGAGCGGCCGCCGCCCCGCACAGCGCCCCCTTGCTTCGGGGAGGTCCGGGAGGGGACTGGGGCAATGGGGGGGAACTGGGGGGCACTGGAGGGGCCTGGGGGGCAACGGGGGAGCAATGGGGACACTGGGGGAGCTCTGGGGGAAATAGGGGTAAAGGGGAACGAATAAAAATATGCTAGAATTGTGTATGGGAGCTATGGGGCAACTGGGGGGAAATAGGAAGGGCTGGGGGGAAATAGGGGCAGGGGGGCACAGGGCAGCCCGCGGTTTGTGTCCTCCCCCAAGCCCAGGCCCCCTCGGCACGAAGGAGACGCTGACGCACTTTGGGGTGTCCCAGAGCTTTATTGGGGGACAGGGGGGACAACCTGGGACCCCCCCAACCAGCAGTAGGGGACGGGGAACAGGATGGGGGTCCCAAGAGAGTCCAGGTGGTTTCTGGTGGTCCCAGGTGATTCTGGGGGGTCCTGCGGGTGCCTCAGTCGGAGCTGCTGGAGGAGGAGGACGAGGACGAGGACGAAGAGCGCTGGGGGGGACAACAGAGCCATGAGCCCCCGAGGGGGGCTGGGGGTGACCCCCTGTGTCCCCGCCCGGGTCTCCCCCACCTTGTGCCTCTTGTGAGCCTTCTTCATCCTCTTCTTCATCTTCTTTGCCGCCTTCTTGTCCAGCCCGGGGGGGAGCGAGGGGAGCACTCCCGGGTGGGGGAGCACCCCCGGGTGGGGGGGCTGCGGCAGGGGGGGGCCCAAGGGGGGGCCCGAGGGGGCCAGAGGCGGCCCCGGGGGGTACGGGGGGGGCCCAGCGGGGTACGGGGGCTGCCCTGGCCCCCCCAGCGGGTTGGGGGGCGCCGCGGGCGGGGGGTACACGGGGTTGGGGGGTGGGACCTGGGGGGGGTACGTGGGGTTCGGGGGGTACGCGGGGTTGGGGGGGGGCGGCTGTCCTGGGGGGGAAAAAGGCGGAGATTGAGGGGGGGGTCTGACCCTGGGGGGGGTCAAGGCAGCCCCCCCAGTTTGGGGTGTCCCCCTGTACCTGCACCAGGGTTCCACATGGCAGGAGACTCCAGGACCTGGGGGGGCACCGTGGGTGAGCGGGGACCCCCGAACCCCCCCAGGCACCCAGGGCAAACTGAGTCAGGGGGTTTGGGGGGCCCCCCCGGGACTGGATCGAGCCGGGCGGCGGGGGAGCTGCAGAGGAGTCGGAGGGTTTCGGGTGCGGGGGGGATTTGGGGTTTGGGGTGCACGGGGGGGTCCTGGGACTTCGCTCCCACCTTCGCTCCGGCCGCGGCCCCTCCCGGCAGGAAGCGGGGGCGGGGCTTAACCGGGGGCAGGGCTTATGGCGGGCTCCTCCCCGGGGGCGGGGCCTGGTCCTGCCCCCTCCCGCCCGGGTCCCGGTGTCCCCCTGCCCACCCCGTGCCTCAGTTTCCCCGCACGCACCTGGCCGGGGGCGGCCGCTGGGCCGGGGTCCCCCGGGGCCGGTGCGGGCCCCGCGGCCAAGCGCTGGAGCCGCTGCAGCGCCCGCTCGGCCGAGAGCCGCGCCTCGGGGTCCGGGTCCCAGCAATCCTCCAGCAGCTCCGGCAGAGCCCCCCCGGCCTGTGGGACCCCCACCCACCCGGGTCAGCGGGGGATGTCACCCCGAACGGGGACAGCCCCCGGTGCCCTCAGCACCATCGCTCCAGCGGGGAGGGGACCCCTGGGCAGCGACCCCCCCAAGCACCCCCGGGTACCCGAAACGCCCCGGGTACCCAGGCAGGGACCCCCCCTCGGACCCCCGGCCCCTTGCCCGCGCCCACCCAGGGGGGTCCCGGGGGTCCCGGGGCTCTGACCTGCGGGGTGCGGTGCCAGGCCGGGGGGATGAGCGGCCGCCGCCTCTCGTCCGCGGCCAAGCGGCGCAGCTGAGCCCCGCTGGGGCTGGAGCCCAGCTCGGCCTCGTAGGCCAGCCGGAACGGCGGCACCGGGGCTCCTGCGGGCGGGGCGGCCGGGGGTCAGCGGGGCCGGGGGGCCGCGGGCAGCGCGGGGGGACCCGCGGCGCTCACCGGGGCTCAGGGCCTGGCAGCGGGACAGGATCTCCCAGAGCAGCAGCCCCAGCGCGTAGACGTCGGCCTGGCGCAGCGCCCGGCCCCAGGCCCGCAGGTCCAGGCTCTCATCCAGGATCTCGGGTGCCAGGTACCGCTGGGTGCCCGCCTGCGCCACACCGGGCCCTGAGCGGGGGGCTCGGGGCCACCCCGGCTGCTGGGGCCACCGGGATCACCAGAGCCACCAGGGCTACCAGGGCCACTGGGCCTCCATGCCAAGGACAGGCTCAGCTGGCAGCCACAGCCCACACTGCCAGCGACATCTGGGGTGCCATCCCCAGCCCAGGGCTGTCACCTTCCCATGCCAGGCCAGGCCATGCCACCCCTGTCCCCCTGTCACCTTGCGGATGGCCACGCTGTGCCGGCTGCTGGCGCTGTCCTGGGTGCGCGGTGGCAGCGCCAGCGCCAGCCCGAAGTCACCGATGGCGCAGGTGCCGTCCTCCCGCACCAGCACGTTCTGGCTGCTCAAGTCCCGGTGCACCACGCTGGGCTTGTACAGCCCTGGGGACACCGAGGGTCACGGGGGGACAGGGCAGGGACAGGGCAGGGGGACAGGGCACACCGGGGGTGCCGTCCTCACCGTCACGCCACAGCTCCTGGTGCAGGAAGGCCAGGCCGCGGGCCAGGGACAGCGCCAGGCGCACGCTGCCTGCCCAGGTCCCCACGTGCTGCCCCAGGAAGTGGCGCAGGGAGCCCTGGGGACCCGCGAGGGACACGAGTGGGGACGTGGGGCACCCCCCGATATCCCCCACACATCTCCCCCCACCGGGCCCCCATCCCCATCCCTGTGCTCCCTGACTGTCCCACGCACCCCCCTGAGGCCCCTCAATCCCTTGCACACCCCGAGCCCCCAAAATCCCCGTTACAACCAAGCCCCCCGAGCCCCCATTACTCCCGTACCCCCTGAACCCCCCAGACTCCTGTTACCCCCCTCCCTGTACCCCCCATACCCCCAAGCTCCTGTTACACCCACCCCTGTTATCCCCTGAGCCCCCCAAAGTCCCGCGACCCCCGTCCCGGTCCCCCCCCAGCCCCCGGGGTGACCCACGGCCGGGTAGAGCTGCAGCACCAGGAGCCCCCCGCGGGCTCGGGGCGCGGCCTCCCGGGTGTGCAGCAGCCTGGCCACGTTCTCGTGCTCCATCAGCGGCAGCGAGTGCACGGCGCGTTCGGCCGCGAACCTCCGGCCGGCCCCGGCCGCGAACGCCTTGATGGCCACGGGCCGCTGGCGCAGCGTGCCCCGCCACACGGCCGAGAAGCGCCCGGACTGCAGCACCTGTCCCGCGGCGGGGACACGCACAGGGGACACGGCTGGCACCGGGTGTCCCCGAGCCCCGGCACCCCCACTCAGGGACCACCTTTGGGGGTCCCTCAGAGCTGTTGTGCCCCCCCCCGGCCTGATGCCCCCTCTGCCATGGGTGTCCCCTCCCAGCGCCACCCCCTTCCCTCCTTCCCTGCCCTCCCCCCTGGATGCCCCTGTTGGGTGTCCCTCCCCCCATGGTGGGTGTCTCCCGGGGGGTGTCCCTCGCCCCGTGGGTGTCCCCCGCCCCATGGTGTCCCCCTGTGGGTGTCCCTTGTCCCGTGGGTGTCCCCCGCCCCGTTAGGGTCCCCCCGTGGGTGTTCCCCGCCCCGGGGGTGCCCCACACCTGCAGGAAGTGCAGCGCAGGCAGGTCCGGGCTGGGGGGCTCCGGGGGGGGGACCCCGATTCTCCGTCCCCCCCGCGGTGGCTGCCCCGTGCGGGCCCTCGTCCGGCGCAGTCCTGGATGGGGGACACCAGGGACACCCCGATCCGGGGACCCCCCACAGGAACCCCCCCAAATCAGGGACACGGGACCTGGGGACACCAGGGACCAACAGCCCCCCCTCGCCAGGCAGGGGACATGGGGGATGTGGCATCCCGGGGGACACACCCAGGACACCCCACCCGGGACACCCCACCTGGGACACACCTAGGACACCCCACCCGGGACGCCCCACCCCAGGGGGTCACAAGGACGCCAGGGACCCCCGCCCCAGGGACGGGGTGACACAACACTTGGGGACCCCCCCCCTCCACCCCGGCAGACCCCCACTCTGGGAACACCAGAGATGCGGCCTTGGGGACACCCAGGGGACATGGGGTAGGGGCCGGCTGTGCCCGGGGGTCCCCACGTCCCCGCCGTGTCCCTGCCCCTACCGAGGACGCCCAGACAGATGAGGAGGATGAGGAGGAGGGGGCTGGCGCCCAGCAGCCACAGGGTCCCCGCGGACCCCCCCTGGCCGGGCACTGGGGACAGACAGAGACTGAGGTGACACGGAGCCCCGCTGAGCCCCCGGGTGTCCGGGGTGGTGGTGGGGGACACTTTAGGGGATCCCATGGCTTCCCCAGTGCCCCCCGAACCCCCCGGCCCCGTACCTGGGCCCGGGCGGGGCCCCCCGGCGGCCGCCGCGGCGCCGGTGGCGTTGCCGTTGCAGAGGTGGCCGTGGCACAGGCACAGCAGCACGGAGCTGCCCGGGTGGCCCGCGGGGCTGGGCGCGCAGGTGGCCGAGGGACAGGCGTCCCCCCGCCCCCCCCAGCAGCCTGGGGACAGCGGCGCGGTCACCCCGGGGGGGGGCAGGGGACAGGTGGGACCCCCGTGCGGGTCCCCCCCGCAGCGGCTCCTCCCCAGCGCCGCCGCCGCCGCCGCCGCTCAAGGCCAAGGCCAAGGCGGCCGCTGGGGAGGGACCAGAACCTCCCCAATCCCGCCTGGCCCGGATCAGCCTCTGCTCCTGCCCGCCCGGCCCGGATCCGACCCCTTTTGCCTCCCCAAACCCCCCCAGGGCAGCACCGAAGCCCTCAGTCCTGCCCCAGCCCTTTCTATCCCTCCAAATCCCCCCCTGGGGCAGGACCGACCTCTCCATCCTCCCCCAAATCCCCCCGGGGCAGAACCAGGCTCTCCATCCTACCCCAAAATCCCCCTGGGCAGGACCAACCTCTCCATCCTACCCCAAATCCCCCCGGGGCAGAACCAGGCTCTCCATCCTACCCCAAAATCCCCCTGGGCAGGACCAACCTCTCCATCCTCCCCCATCCCCTTCTGCCCCTCCAACCCCGCCCGGGGCAGGCTCAAAGCGCAGCCCCCCTATCCCCTGCCCAGAGCCGGGGGTCTCCCCCTTTTCCCTGCCCAGAGCCGGAGGTCCCGGGGTCTCCCCCTTTCCCCTGCCCAGAGCCGGGCTCCCGGGGTCTCACCCTGCACCAGAGCGTGGCTGCGGTTCCAGATGCCCACGCAGCACTGCCCGGGGGGGCAGCGCACGGCGCCGGCCGCCGCCCCCCCCGCGTCGCCCAGCGCGCCCCGCACGCTCGGGTGCTTGTAGGACACGCAGGTCACGTTCTGGGGACCTGCCGGGGACACCTCGCACCAGGGGGGGCTCTGCACCTCCCCAGAAGGGCCCCCCCCAGCCCCGGCTGTGCCCCCCCTGCACCCACCTGGGCGCCCCATGGGAGCCTCCGCGGGGCCGGTGGGAAGAGGAGCGGAGCAGGAGCAGCAGGAGGAGGAGGAGGAGGAAGAAAAGAAGAAGGAGAAGGAGGAGGAGGAGGAGGAGGAGGAAGGTGCTGCCCCCGCATCAGGGAGGAGAGAGCCGGGGTGTCTGGGGAGGGGGGCAGCCAAGCCTGGCCCCCTGCCCTGCGTCACCCAAACGGAGCTCAGTGTCCCCTGTCCCCTCTGCCACCCCCCAAAACCGGCCTGTGACCCCCCAAATGGAGCTCAGTGTCCCCTGTCCCCCCTGGTGCTCCCTGCCACCCCCCCAAAAACCGGCCGTGCCCCCCAAGGGACCCCCCCTCAGACTTCCAGACAACGCCAGCGACTCGTGTTTATTACAAAAAGAACTCGTCGTTCCCCATTTACAAAGGAGCCCCCCAAAACTAACAGTTTCATCTAAGTCTTTTTGTACAAAAAAATAGCACTTTGGGACCCAAAAAAAACAATCATCCACCACCCCCTCCCCCCCAAAAAAAATCGCCTTTGGGGGGGGAGGTTTATGACATCAGCCACCGGATTTGTAAAAACCAACCCCCCCTCCCCTCCCCTTCCCTAAATTAAAACAACAGAGACGGGACGAGATCAAACAGGGAGAGAATTATTGCCAGTTTGGGGGGGCTGGACCCCCCAGGACCCCCCCGCTGCATAGAGAACCGGCCCCGGCCCCCTGGAATGAAGGGGTGACAGTGGATTAGAGCCGGGGGCAGCCCCCAGAGCCCCCCGGCCCCTCTGCGGGGCGTGGGAGCGGAGCAGGGGGGGCTCGTCCCCAGCCTGGCCCCCCCTTGTCAAGGCACGTTTGTGTTTTGTGTCCCGGGAATGGCCGGGGGGCTTTGGGGGCTGCTGGGGGGGTTTGGGGGTGCCGGGAGCAGGGTGGGGACCCCGGTGCCGACAGAGCCAAAATGGGGGCGGCGGGAGGACCCAGCTGCCCCCCCACCCCCCCCGGCACTGGGAGCAGCGCTGGTGGTGTGGAGCCCCCCCCAAAAATGCTCTGATCCCCCCAAAATGCTCTGATCCCCCCAAAATGCTCTGATGCCCCCCAAAATGCTCTGATCCCCCCAAAACGCTCTGATCCCCCCAAAACACCGCAGGGGAGCAGCCCAGGCTCTGAGAGAGCCCCCCGGGGGTCCCTGGGGTCCCCCTCCCTCGCGGCTGCGTTCCCATGGGAAAGCCGAGCTCCCTGGGGACAATCCATGCGCAGGGAGGGGACACCGGGGACATCACCGGGAGGGGACACGCCGGGGACGTCCCAACGCCGGAGCCGGGGTGGGGTTTGGCACTTGATCCCCCCTGGGGACAGAGCTAGGCTCGGGGGGCGTCGGGGCGGGGGTAAAATCACCAAATTGACCATTAAATTAAGAAACCTCCTGGTTTTTGTCCCAATCCTTTGTGGATTTCGGGCTGGGGGGGGGGGGTCCGGGGGAGCTCATAGTGCTTCACAGGGTTATTAAAATACAAATGCTTAAAGTTTCCTATATAAAAATATACAAATGCAAAAATAGATATCGAGAGAGAGAGCCGGGGGGGGCTGGGGGGGCCGGGCCCTGCGCCCCCTCCCCGGGGAGCTTCTGCTGCCTTTCCTTTTTTTTTGCGTGTTTTTTACAAAAAAACCCCCTCCAAATCAAAACAAGATTCCTGCTTCCCGCCGGCTCCCGGAGCTGCCGAGCGAGCGGGGCAAAGCTCGGAATGGAGATGGGGCAGCCGGGGCAGCTCCTGCTGGCCCCAGGGACTCCGGCTCCTCCCCGGGCTACTGGCTCGGCTGCAGCTTCTCCCGGGACAACGGGGAGCGGGACACGGAAGCACTGAGGGGCTGCGGGGCGGCTGCTCTCCACCTGCCCTGGCGAGGACAGCGCCCCAATGCCCCTGGGAACGGCCCCGACAGGTGAGAACAGGCCGGGGCAGGTGGGAGTGAATGGCCCGGGGCAGGTGAGAACAGCCCGGGGCAGGTGGGGATGGATGCCCCGGGAAGGTGGGGATGGCCCGGGAAGGTGGGGATGGATGCCCTGGGGCAGGTGGGGATGGCCAGGGGCAGGTGGGGATGGATGCCCCGGGGCAGGTGGGGATGGATGCCCTGGGCAGGTGGGGATGCCCTGGGGCAGGTGGGGATGGATGCCCTGGGCAGGTGGGGATGGATGCCCCGGGCAGGTGGGGATGGATGCCTTGGGGCAGGTGGGGATGGATGCCCCAGGAAGGTGGGGATGGCCCGGGAAGGTGGGGATGGATGCCCTGGGGCAGGTGGGAAAGCCCCGGGCAGGTGGGGATGGATGCCCCGGGAAGGTGGGGATGGATGCCCCGGGAAGTTGGGGATGGATGCCCCGGGGCAGGTGGGGATGGATGCCCCGGGGCAGGTGGGGATGGATGCCTTGGGGCAGGTGGGGATGGATGCCCTGGGAAGGTGGGGATGGCCAGGGGAAGGTGGGGATGGATGCCCTGGGGCAGGTGGGGATGGATGCCCTGGGCAGGTGGGAAAGCCCCGGGGCAGGTGGGGATGGATGCCCCGGGAAGGTGGGGATGGATGCCTTGGGGCAGGTGGGGATGGATGCCCCAGGGAAGGTGGGGATGGATGCCCTGGGGCAGGTGGGGATGGGATGCCCCGGGAAGGTGGGGATGGCCCGGGGCAGGGGGGATTCATGGATCAGCGGCCATCCCGGGGTGGGGGGCTCCCCTCTGCACCGACCCCAAAATGGGAGCAGGGAAGTTCTGGGTCCCCTCCTGGGCTCCTGACCCGCTCAGGCCCTGCTGGGCTCTCCCCAAAGCTGCGCCTGGGAACAACCCCAGGTTTCCTTTTGGGGATGCACTCCCTGCATCCCCCAGCCCCGGGCAGGGCAGCCGGGATGCGGCTGGGGCAGGAAGAGGAGGGTGTGGGAGGAAGAACGGAAAGGACCGAGCCCTCCCCCGGCGGGAGGAGCAGGATCCTGCAAAACCCTTTTTGGGGGTTTTTTCTCCAAACTGTCCCTATTTCCAGCACCCTTTTTTTTTGTCAGGAACCACCTCCAGCGGTGCCACAACAAAACCCTCGAGTGTCCCTCGTGTCCCTGCGGTGCTTCCCCCTCGCTCCAGATCGGCTGAGCTCCGCAGATTCTCCTTTTTCCCGATTATTACTATAATTATTATTAATTCCAATGCTGGCTGTAATAAAAAAAATCAACTTTTCCCCCCGAGGAGGCTCCAGTTGTCCCCCCAGGGCTGCGTCCCAGCCCCTCTGTCCACGACCTTCCCATGGAGCAACTGCACTCCCACGGGACAGGGAGCCTTGCCAAGAAAACGGCTGGAAAAAACCAAGATCCAAGAAAAAAAAATAAAAACAACACCTGCCAAGGCAGGGGAGGGCAGTGGGAGTCCAAGGGTGAAAAATCCAGCGGGATCTCCCCCCGAGAATGCCAAAGGAATTACAGAGTCGCCTCAAAGCAAAGCGCCGACAGCCCGGGAGGGGTCGGGGGCTCTGATGGGAAATGGGACCTGGGGAGGGAAGGGGAGCTCGGGCATCGTCCGGCGCGCCCCAGAGGGGCCGACCTGCTCCAGGATAAGGCATCAAAGGGACCACGCCATGGTCACAGCAACATCTCTCCTCTCTCAAACGAACACATTTTATATTTTTATATATATAATAATAATATAGAATCTTTTCTCTTCTTTTTTTTTTGGTTTTTTTTTTTTGCTTTTTTGTTTTTTTGTGTTGGTTTTTTTTTTTTTTTGTATTGTTTTGTTGGTATTTCTGTCGTTGGGTTTTGGTTTTTTTTTGCCTTTTTTTTTTTGCTAAAAGGACCGAGGCATGATGACGCCAAGGGACCTCGGGTCGGGGAGGCAGGAGGGGAGGGGAAAAGGGACAAAAAAAAAAGGGGGGGGGGGGGAAAAAATCAAGCCGAAATTAAAAAATATATATATATATAGCTCTGGCCTTCAGGTGGAGGTGGCGGCCGGGCCGTGCCGGAGGCGCCGTCCCCGCGCGCGGAAGCCTCGGAAGCCTCAGAAGCCGTTGCCGCTGATGTTGATGGACTGCAGGTCGGCCACCTGCATGACGTTGATGCCGCTGCTGGCCAGGCGGGCGATGCCCTCGGGGCAGATGGCCTCCATGGCCACCATGTTGGTGGCGATCAGCGCCGAGGGCGTGGCGCCGCCGTTGCCCTCGGCCGAGGCCGCCGTGTCCATGGGGACGGCCGAGACGTTCATGGCCACGCTGGCGGCGCCTCCCTTCTTGTTCTGGTGGGTCTTGATGTGCTTGGAGAGGTGGTCGCTGCGCATGAAGCGTTTGGGGCACTCCGGGCAGGCGAACTTCTTCTCTCCTGGGGGAGGGACGGGGCCGTGAGGGATGGAGGGGAAAAGGCTGGGATTGGGAAGAGGTTCCTGCCCTCTGTGAGAGGGGAAGACCTGAGTGCCAACGCTCCAGGACGCTGGAATTTTGGGGAAAGGTTCCTCCCCACAAGAACGCTCAGGCTCTGGAGGGGCTCTCAGCCCCAAGAGCTCGAAGCCAACCTCTCAGGAGGCTGGGATTTTGGGAATAGTTTGGGACCTTGAGAAAAGGTTCCTCCCCTGTAAGAATGCTCAGGCCCTGGAGGGGCTCCCAGCCCCAAGAGCTCAAGGCCAACGCCTGAGCTCTTCCAGCGTGGAATTTCAGCCCCACGGATCCCTGAGGCTGCCCCACGAGCCAGAGCAGCCCCCCAGAGCCCCCAGAGCCCCCAGCCCCACCTGTGTGCGTGCGCTTGTGCCGCTGCAGCTCGTCGGAGCGGGTGAAGCGCTTCCCGCACAGCACCCAGGTGCAGATGAAGGGCCTCTCCCCCGTGTGCCACCGCAGGTGCGCCCGCAGGTGAGACGTCTTCCCGTACACCTTCCCGCAGCCCGGCACGTGGCAGATGTGCTGCTTCTTCTTGCCTGGATCCCCAGAGCTCCTGCAGGAAGAAAAGGGTTAAACCTGAGGGGATTTCAGGGGATAGGCCTGGGGTGGTGGAGCTGCTGGATTGGGATGGGACCCACCCGTGGGATTGATGGGTTTGGGGTGAGGCTCAGCCCGGTGGAGTGCCAGATCCTGCCCCTGGCCCACAGCAGCCCCATGGGACACGGGGAATCGGGGCTGGGAAGCTGGGAAAGGACCTGGGGGTGCCCAGGTGGCCCCGTGCATGTGGCACCTGGGGACACGGGTGGCCTTGCCAGGGCTGGGGGAGCAGCTGGAGCTGAGGATTGAGGGACCCTTCCCAACCCAAGTAACTCCACAAACGAGGCCCCTGGTGGCAGAGCCGCGGACAGCAGCCTCACCTGCCCTCTCCTTCCTTGCAGTAGGGACAGGTGCAGGCTTCCCGCCGTGTTTTCCGGCCCTGCTGGGGCTGGGGGTCGGGGCTGGTCTCCCCCTCCTCCACGGCCGCGCTCTCGTCGCCCAGCCCGTCCCCGCTGCCGCCGTGCAGCCCCAGCTGGGCCCCGTGCTCACCTGCGAGGCAAGGAACAGGTTACAGCAGGCTCCTCACCTGGACACCAGGCTCTCCTCTGCCAAAGCTCAACCCCATCCTTTTCCCTCGGCCTTCCTGACATTCCCCAGCCTGGGGCTCTCCCTGGCCTCCCCAGCCCCTGGATCTCCCACATTTCCCCCATTTTGGTCCAGGTCTTTAATTTATTTCTAGGGGCTGTGATTCCAGACCCAAATCTGCCTTTTCCCCCCCAATTTCCTCACAGGAAGGACATGCTGTCACTTGAATGTGGCAGGTTTGAGACAAATTCATCTTTTCCCTAACAATTTCCTCACGAGGAATCCGATTTCTGTGACCTGAGTGTGTCAGGTTTGAGACGAGCACACCTGGGGTTTTATCTCATTGCAGAGTTGCTCTCCCAAGGCTGGGAAATGAAGCTCCAGGCTGGAATTACTCCCAAAAATCCCATCTGTGGCTTTTCCTGGTGCTGTTTCCAGCAGCTCCAGTGAGGAGGAGGCGACAGGAAGGTCAGTGGGGGTGTCCTGGTCACTCACTGCACTTTCCAAAGCTGGCATTCCCAAAGCCCAGCCCACGATCCTTCTGGGAAGCCCTGCTGAGAGCAGCACCTCGGCCAAGCAGGGAAATTTCCTTTACAATCCCCGTTTTCCCCATAGGAGCTCCGAGGCAGGAGCCAGGGGGGTTGGAGAAGGATAAATTTCAAATCCCCCATGAGGCACAGGCTGGGCACTCCTGGAGGTGCCAGGAGGGAGTTTCACAACCCAGAGATGGTGCTGGGAATGAGGAAGAATTCCTGGCAGGAACAACCTCCCCAGTCCCTGCTGGTGCCAGTGCCAGCAGGCGTCAGTGGTGCCTGGGCAGAGCTCCACGAGGGACAGGAGCCACCAGAACAGATCCCTGGGGCTCAGGAGTCACCAGAAGAGATCCATGGGGCTCAGGAGCCACCAGAACAAATCCCTGGGGCTCAGGAGCCACCAGAACAGATCCCTGGGGCTCAGGAGCCACCAGAACGGATCCCTGGGGCTCAGGAGTCACCAGAACAGATCCCTGGGGCTCAGGAGCCACCAGAACAAATCCCTGGGGCTCAGGAGCCACCAGAAGAGATCCATGGGGCTCAGGAGCCACCAGAACGGATCCCGGGGGCTCAGGAGCCACCAGAAGAGATCCATGGGGCTCAGGAGCCACCAGAAGAGATCCATGGGGCTCAGGAGCCACCAGAACGGGTCCCTGGGGCTCAGGAGCCACCAGAACAAATCCCTGGGGCTCAGGAGCCACCAGAACGGGTCCCTGGGGCTCAGGAGCCACCAGAATGGATCCCTGGGGCTCAGGAGCCACCAGAACGGGTCCCTGGGGCTCAGGAGCCACCAGAACAAATCCCTGGGGCTCAGGAGCCACCAGAAGAGATCCATGGGGCTCAGGAGCCACCAGAACGGGTCCCTGGGGCTCAGGAGCCACCAGAACGGGTCCCTGGGGCTCAGGAGCCACCAGGAAAGTGAAGAAATCTTCCCTAGAATCCAAGCTGAAGCTTCCCAGCACAGCCTGAGGCCGTTTGCCCCGTGACCTGGGAGAAGAGGCAGGAGCAGGCTGGTGGGAGGTTTGCTGCCCCCCGGCCCACAGAGATGCAGATTCCCTGGAAAAGGCAGGGCTGGCCCGTCAGGGAATGCCAGGGAATGCTTCAAGCACCCCTGGGGGCAGAGCCTGGCGCTGTCACACTGGGGACAGGGCAGGAGCAGCCGGGCTGTCACGGGGGTGTCACCGGGGCTGTCACTGGGGGCTGTCACTGGGGGCTGTCACTGGGGGGTGTCACCAGGGGGTGTCACCGGGGGGTGTCACCAGGGGGTGTCACCGGGGGTGTCACTGGGGGCTGTCACTGGGGGCTGTCACCGGGGCTGTCACTGGGGCTGTCACCGGGGGATGTCACCGGGGGGTGTCACCGGGGGGTGTCACTGGGGGCTGTCACCGGGGGCTGTCACCGGGGCTGTCACCGGGAGATGTCACCGGGGCTGTCACTGGGGGCTGACACCAGGGCTGTCACCAGGGGCTGTCACCAGGGGATGTCACCAGGGGCTGTCACTGGGGTGTCACCGGGGGCTGTCACCGGGGGCTGTCACCAGGGGATGTCACCAGGGGCTGTCACTGGGGTGTCACCGGGGGCTGTCACCGGGGTGTGTCACCCAGCACACAAACCCCAGGTACCCCCAGGACCGTCCCCAGGATCATCCAGCCTGGGACCAGCCCCCGGGCCCTGCCCTCACCCCTGGCAGCACGGGAACGCTGTCCCCTCCAAGGGTGACACCGTTGGAAGGCCGGCCCTCGGTGCCACATTGCCGAGCTCCCTGCCGGGCTGAGCGCTCCAGGAGCTCCCCAGGCCCTCCCTGCAGCTCCTGTGACGTGTCTGCAGGCACAGCCCTGCACGCACACAGCCTGGGAGGGGATTTAAGCTCCCTAAGCCAGCACCAACAGCTTTGTGCTCCGGCCACGGATTAGAGATTTCCCCGGATGGGAAGAGCTGCTGGGGAAATAAAAAAAATAAAAGCAAGAAAAAAAAAAAAAAGAAAAAAAAAAAAAAGCCAAGAGAAAACACAACTTCTCTCCCCCCCAGAAAATCCCAAACGAGGAGAAAACACAAGTTCTTTCCCCAAAAATACACCAGGGAGGGGGAGAATCCAGCCAGGATGCCTTGGAATGGAATGGCTCCAATCCTCCAAAAGGCAAAAGCCTACACGGCGTTTTCTGGCCTTTGGGCACTGGGGAACAAACCCAAATCCTGCTGCTGGCGATCTGTGGCCTCCTCTCAGTGAGGTATAAATCCAGGGCAGCAGATCCTGGCCCTGCAGGGATCATCCCACCCCAATCAGGAGCTCTGAAATCCCTGGGATATGACAGGTCCAGGGGAAAAGTGGAGGAGAGGATAATTCACGTTTATTATCCCCCCTAATACACATCCCTGCTAAGACTAAAGCTCCCCCGGAGGCTCCACACTGGGGTCAGCAAAGCCCTCAAAAATACATTATTAATAGAGCAAGAGGAGGTTAAATCTCTGGAAGAAGCCTGGAAAAAAGAGGGATTTTGGGAAGGCAGGAGAGGGGAGCTGCCCCTGGCCCGGCTCCGCCAGCAGCCTCTGAGACCCCCCAGGAACGGGGCAGTTTCTGGTGTCCCACTAAAAAACCCCAAACCCCGGAATCTTGGCTTGGGGATCCTCTGCAGACAAGGGGCTCCTTGTGCAGGAAAAAGCTGGGGCTTGTT